AGCAGCGGCTGTACCCCAAGGTCTCACGGATGCCTGTATTCCGGACTCATTCGAGATGCGTAAGGCCAGCGACTTGTCTCAGAAAGCCCATTTCAGCAGCCTGTACCCGGGTTCTAAGCTTTTCAATGATGGTCCACGACTCATGACTGTATGTAAGCGTGGGGACATAGATCGACTCGAATACTGAGAGTTTAGTTTTCAGACTGAGGCCTGCTTTAGTGACAGTGGTGCGGGCTAGTTCATGTAAAACGCCACTGGCTACTCCAATTCGCCAGTCGATCTGTTCCTCAAATTTTCCATCACTAGTAAATACAATTCCGAGGTACTTGAGCTTCTCCACCTGCTCCACTGCCTCTCCGTTAATCTGAAGAGAGCAACGGGCAGGAGAAGGAGAAAGCTCTAGGCTTTCCGTTTTAGATGCGTTCACACGCATGCCGGTCACGTCGCACTCGGCTGCGAACCTTTCCAGTAATCACGTTAGATCAGTTTCAGAAGATGCCAATAAAACAGGGTCGTCTGCAAATATCAGCCTTCTCGTCTCCACATCTCCTACACCGATACACTTATCGTCTTCGCTGCCTCCTCCCCTTAATCGATGTACAACGTAAACAAGGATGCAGTCTTGGCTGAGACCAATGCCAGCGTTGACGGGTTTCGACTTAACGCCATTTACTCTGACGCAGCACCGGCTATCAGAATACAGTGATTGAATGGCCCTTAGCAGCCGGCCATCTATCCTATATGGTCGCAGGCATGTCCACAGACTGCTGCGTGGGATCCGGTCAAAGGCTTTTTCTAGGTCCACAAAACACATGTACACCGGCTGGGCATACTCCCACGATTTCTCAACAATCTGGCGCAGGGCAAATATATGGTCAGAGGTTCTTCGACCGGGCCGGAAGTCACGCTGCTCTTCTTGGAGCTTGAGGTCAGCTAATTCGCGGCACCTCCTTTCTAGCACCTTTGCGTTGACTTTACCTGGGAGGCTCAATAACCCAATGCCCTTATAATTGGAGCATTCCTTGTGATCTCTCTTTAGAATACGGGTACAATAATTCCCATTCTGCAGTCCGCTGGTGTCTTTCCCGCCGACATCGCGGTTTGACAGACGTGTAAGCCAGCCCATGCCTTGTTTGCCTAATGCCTTGAGCATTTCAGGGCGACTTTCATCAATTCCAGCAGCCTTTCCAGTTTTCAAGCTTCTCACAGCTTGTCTAAATTCATCTACAGAAATGATGATGTCCATTCCCTGCTGCTCTAGAAGCGAGTCTTCCTTCGGTTACTCTGGATTAAGGAGTGTGCTGTCTCTAATGCCGGATGATATCTTTATCCTTGATGAGAGGGTGTCCAGACCTGTCCTTTAAGACTCTTAGACTGCCCTTCAATCTAGCTCGGAGCCAGAGATTGGTCTGCCAGAATACCTTGTTTGCTGTGTGGAAATTGGATTGCGACATCTCACCGAACTTCTCCCAGAAATCAGCTAGGGGTTTTCGCCACTGCTTTCGCTGCCGCCTTGCGTGCTTCGACATATTGCACGCGAGTATAACGCTCTTTGTTTTTAAGCGATTTCTTGAATACAGCCTTCTTCTTTTTAACTGCCAGTTGTATCTCTCCTGTCCAGCACGAAGTTCTTTTCTAGCCTCCAGGCGGCAAGGCAACCCATTTGAATCAGCAGCATTCAGCGACAGCCTTGAGTACACTTCATTTAAAGAGCTGCCACTCGGTTTCCACATCAGTGGTCATCACCGGGATCTGTTCAAACCGCCGTGCGATATTTTGTTTTGCAAATTTCGCTCTGGTATGTACCACAGTCTGTGCACTAGCTTCCCTGTACCAGGTATTCTGATTCCCTCTTCGATGCTCGATGAAGGTGTTCATAATGGACAATCCGTTGTTTGCACAAAACTGCAACAACTTCATGCCGTTATTGTTGAGGTCGCTAGGGCTGTTTTTTCGAGTCACGCCGTTCCACTTTTCAGCGTCTACTCTGACATGCGCATTAAAATCGCCGATGAGCATGATGGATTCCATATTCTGCATTTCCTACAGAGCACACTACAATTACTCAAGGTAAGAATCATATTCTCCCTGTAAGTTGGGCGCATAGACCGGTGAAAGGGTCAACGCTTATCCTCATGTAGCTTCAGTCGGAAGATTGCCACCCTTCCTCTGACAGGTTTTCAATCAAAGATTCTACCAACGAGATTGGATTCTACCAGAACACCAGCACCGGCCTGAGCGCTCATCGTGATATCGACACCTGAATAGAATAGCTTCTACCCATAGGGAGTTCAGGAGTCCAGAGCCTTGGCGCTTCGTTGACAGGAGTCCAAAAGAATCTAGTTGGTACTTTATAGCCGCATCAACTAACTCTTGTTTTTTCCCTGTCAGTGAGGATATATTCGAGTTTCGGACTTTAAGCTCCCACTGGCGGTATCGTTCGCATGGTCCCTTTTCTGACGTGCTATAATGGCATCGGGATGTCGGCCTCCTCCGTTCAGAACTGCTAGCGACTCCGTTACTGACTGGTATCTTCTTCGTCGTTCCGTCGATCTTCGACAGCCGTTGTTGTGCTGCTACGCCATCGACTGGCAGATGGTGATGAGCAAGTTGTGATTGCCGACTTTTCGCAGTCTGCCTCATTGCTCCAACAACATGCGCGGCCTTTGGCATCCCTGGCGACGACCGAGTCGGTATAATTTTCGGTGAGGTCGGTACCACGAAGGGCAGGTGGCAAAATTTTACTGATGCTTCGCCACATTCTCTAAACCTTCTTTTTCAACCAAGCTTGGGACTCGCAACAGTGGAGTTGATATGATTTGAAACAAACTTAGTTGCTGTCACTTTTTCGTGAGTAGGTTTTATGGACAGTGTTGGTTTGAGCTAAACTCGCTATCTGATACATAAACCTATTTTACGTTTTTATGCGAACGGAAATACAGCTTAAAGCGCAGTTATTGTATAAGTTTTTGACGTTTCTCTATGTGTAAAGACCTTCTTCAAGGTAAAATGGCTTAGTTTATCTTTTCGCTTATCGTCGGTGACGTGCGCAGTAGTTGTCAAAGAGCTATTAGTTTAGCTGTGTAATAATTCCATCATTGATCTTTTTCATTTTGACTGCCACAATGTTGAGGAAGCACTCAGTCTTTGCTGTTAACTGGCATACGTACTGGAAGTGCGGTAAGTACTGCGATGAACTGATTTCAGCTCGCCTGTAGGGCTTATTTAGGGCAGTGCAGATTGAGAATTTCTATTCCGAAATGCGGGGATCAGGATTGTTTCGGATTTTTAATTTTTCCGGATTTTGGAATACATGATATGATGTCGTTGAAGAACAACTGAAAAACAAAATTCAGGGAATCGACTAGGAAACTCATTACGATCACAAAATTCCAAAACAAACTGTCAAAATCATTGGACACGCTTTGTCACCCACATTCTCACCTCGAACACACAAAATACCGAATCTGCTTCCTTTGAACAAAAATGTTTATCTCCGAGTTCCTATCCCAAATTGCTGTCTGCTATGAGAATGATGTTACAGTGAAGTTCCAGAAAGCGGCGTAGCAGCTCTTTCCAAACGAGAAAACGAATCTCACAGTTATTTCACAAACTGAAACGACTGGATTTCCTTGCAGTACAGCATCACCAGGTACAGAAAGACATTTTCATACAGCTGATGTAACTTGTAAGGAAGGAAGATTGAGGAAAGGGAAGGAAGAAGGATGAAAGTTATGAGTTAATGGGTTGTTTCCATGATAAAATGCAAGCATAAAAATAAGATTTGTTTGACGTGTTCCCCCTTTTGACTCTGCAGATAAAATAAGTAGTGATCTCACGAATGGAACGTAGAGAACTGTCGATAGCGTTTGACAATCCGGCCTTCGTTAGGGACAGACAGGTTGTTTTCCGATTGGCCGGGTATCAAAAGATACTAGAAGGTTCAGAGGAAGAGGAGCACCAAAGGTGTTACGATCATTTTTCGTATTATCCAAAGATATTTCAATAATCTCAGGGCTGAGAAAAGAGTTAATAGATTGTTATGGATTTCAGAATTTCGGATTGGAGATACTCAGCCTGTAGATTGTAACGTAAAAAAGGTGGTATAAATCTGTGAGTTTAAAGGTGACCGTATGGCATTCTGCTGGTACGTAATTCTTTATTTATTTAGCAGCTTAGCAAATTACGCAGTGTTTCAGTGCATAGATTGCCTGACAGAGAAATGTCTTCATCCCCTCTCGACGTATAAATGCGGACATTAACTCAAATCTGGCGTCACGCATTGTCATCAGGTTATTCTTTTTCTACATTACTTCGTTCTTGAAGGATGAGGAACTTTGTCAGCCCTTCGGATCAGTGCATCTTTAACTGACCGTTGTCCAGTAGATCACATTTTTTAACATGACAGGCCATCAAATAACGTAAGGGTAACGGGGGTCAACCTGCTCTTTGCGACAGGGGTTCAGCCTTGATTTGTAGAACTCCAGAAAGTTTTTTAGGCTAATCGAAAAATGTCGTGTCTATCGGCTGTTAAGTCGAGAGACGCATGTACTAGGAAATGAAACTGGCAAAAGTTTTAGTCCACTTCGCAATTTGAAACAGGTATCGATTAGCTCTGTCAGATGAACCTCTAAACGTGATCAAAGTCGTGATGAGGTCATGCCCGAGAGCACAGTTTTTACGATAAGATTCATACTCCGTTTTATGGTGTGATACTAAGATAACGCACTGTGAATATTAGCAGGGAGGAAAAGGGAAACTCACTGCAGTCATTGGAAAAGGAAGTGTAAATCTTTTCCTTGTACCGATCAAACGAACCAGATAATTATCCAATCAAGCCAATTATTAGATTCGTCTGGAGCAAATGTTGCTTTCGAATACCTTGTTGTTATTTCATCACGCTTCCCTATTTGAAAATTTGGACAGTGGCCGCTCTTGTTTCCTTCGGATAAGTAATAAAAGTAGGCGTGTGTTTCTTTTAGACGAATTTGCTATAACAGATATAAATTCTGGCATTCGCGGTTGCCATTACCTCGTCAGCTCACCGTTCAAGGCTTCATGGCAGACCTTTCCGGTTAACTAAAATACCGGTCACCGATCGGTTTTTCCTTAGTGTCTAGCTTCCACAACGCAGTCGCTGAGGTTGGGCTCGTAGAAGGCGCTGAACGTTCGCTTTTCATAAACGTTCAGGAGCGAACTAGAATATTTTAACCACACTATGAGAGTGTATGACAACTCTGGAGAAAATGTTATTACAAAGCTTAACTGTAAACTTTAAGCCTGAAAGGTCACCAAGATAACGTTGGACAAGCTAATTCGAACAGCTGGATAAATTACGCACCATTTAAGCTAAGAGGTTTGCTCTGAGCCGAAGCATATGGCCTGAAGTTGTGCACGATGCATCCTTCATCCTGAACAGTGAGTATTAC